CCCCCCCCCCCCCCCCGTGCAACCAACCAATCAAAAACATAAACTTCTGAGAACATAATCACCTATGACATAACTGTTTTGCAAATTATTGCAATCCATTGTCTGTATTTAGCGTAGCCATATACCGGGTGTATAAAAAAAACGCAACCTTCCCGAGAAATCGACATTGTTTTAAAGACAAAAGATTTTAGGCGCCTGGGAATTTAAAATAGCACAACTGTCAAAATTACTGCACATGCGAGTTGCATAAAGCAAAATTTATTTAATGCAAAACAACAGTAATATGATCTATAAGCAATTTGATTTCAATTCCCAGGGGCCTAAAATCTTTTATGCTTAAGAATTGCAAAGTGATTTCTTAGGAAATTCCGAGGTTGCGGTTTTTTTTATACACCCTGTATAGTTAATAGATAGAGAGTGTTGAACATGATATCTCACAAGTGAGCGCAGCAAACAAGTGAGATCTCATGTTCAACACGAGAAATAAATCTGGTATTTCCAATTTTCCAACCACCCATGTACAAGGGCGTCAATCTATCCCAAAAAGTGGGGGGGGGGACGGACTCCAAATTATGAAGGTCGGGGGGCATGCTACCCGAAATTTTTTTAAAATTTTGGTACACTGAAACGGCATTCCCAGCGTTTTGGAGGCCACGTGGGAAATGTGAGAATGTTAACCATGTGAGAAATACTCTAGAAACCAACATGTCCTAGCCTGTAAACAGACGTTACTCTTGATGAACATGTCTTCACTCTTATTTTATAATGCTAATAATCTATTAAATTAACCATTTGCCTTATTTTGATGATAATCATCTATGTGGAAACTCAGTTATTAATCAATATTTATTAGCACCTGGAAATTTACATATAACTTCTCTTCAGTGGCGGACACTTTACGAAATATTGGGGGGAGGGCTCGTGCCGAAGGCACAGGAAAATTTTAAAATTTGGATCCCGGAAATGGCATTTGCAGAATTCTGAGAACACATTTTGTAAAAAACCACGTTTTCAAAACACTGTTTTAATGGTCGGCATTAATTCAGTTATAAATCACATGCAAAGCATAGGAAAACAACATTTCTGAGAAAATATTTACATGATTATTAACATTTCTGAATGGAATTGCATGTAAAAATTTATTTGCTAAGTGAGTGAAATTTATTCGCTGAGCACGCTTTTGTTTTTGTTAAATAATTAAAATTGGAATATTAATTGAATTATCCATTGTTTTTGAGCATAATAGTTTAATACGCATTCAAATATTATTGTGCAGCAGAAAATTTTGCTGCTAAAGACTAGTATAAGCTTCAAAAACAACAAAAAATCGACAATGACATTTAAAGAAGTGCCTGTTGCAAAAGTTGACCTCCTAGTATCCGTCAAAAATAATGTATAAAATGCGTATGTTGTGTCATGTACAGTACAGAAACGTATATTATTATATTGTTTGGTATATTGCTTACTGTTTTAGCTTAAGTTTTATCAAATAGTTATTATTTAATATGACAATTACGTTATATGAGTGATTTGTGTTATTTGGTACAAGATTTTTACAGTCTTTTAAAATTATCCGGGGGGCTTCGGCCACCCCTCGCCCCCTCCCCTAGTGTCCGCTACTGCTTCTCTTCATTAAATATTACATAATATGAAGGTGCAAGCTAACTGTAATAACCTTGTAGGGTTAGACGAGACAGTTAAGACGCAATTATTTTTAAGTATTTACAATTTTACGTATGAGATATCAGTACCTGCTCCCAGCGGCTACAGAAAGATCATACGTTGTACTTCTTATTCAATCACAATTTTTGATGAACAGCATACCATGCATTAGGTTTTTAGATAACCAAGAAACAAAATTTCATTAAACATGTCAAAAAGTGGGGAGGATAATTAGATATTCGTCCCCCCCCCACTCCAAAAACTGGGCCCCCCCCAGGATTGACGCTTATGCCCATGTATTTTTCTGTTTATTATATAAAGGGCAACAATTTTGCCAGGGAATGTCCGACTGGCTATCGTATGTTAGAGGCTCCAAAGGCGGTAGAATCCCTGTGATGTTGTCCACTGTTCACCCAGTGTTCTTTTAAGCAAATTGTGCTAGCTGCTCAAAAAAGCAAAATCTTTCAAGCCAGTGGATACAATACTGAAGTGAAAAGCTTCAGTAGATTTACATGCAGGAATTTTTTTTGAGCGCTCTCTTTTGCATGATATTTTTTTTTCTCGATTGTATGCTGCATGATTTTTTCTTTCTTTCTCCTTAGGTTGCAGGAGTTTTTTTTTGAAATCTTCCAAACCCCCCCCCCTCCCCAAAGCAAATGATCCGCCCCTTAGGTACAATGCTTGCGGTATATCATATCTGCATGTATGACAAAATGTGTCACTTTGCCGCCCTTATTTGCCTGCACTGTAGACGGACATATACGCTTCCTTGGAAAATTGGAAATAAAAAATCTGCTCCATTTTTGAACGTACTTTTTTATTAAAAAATTTACCGGTCACGTATGTCCGGCAAGCGACAATATTTGCCGGTCAAACTGTTAATTTTTACCGGTCAGTGACTGGCACTTATTTCGAGGCCTTGGCAGAACACGGATATATGAATATACACACACCCCCACCGACCCCAATTATCGCGCTAGGAACGGCCCTGCCTTCACCATACTACCATTGCCACCATCTGGCCCACTGCCTCAACTGCTACTGCTGCATATATATTGTACTTGTACTATCCTGCAAATTTTATTTTTTTAGAGCAATATTATTAATATTAAAACAACCATTATATATCACAAATATTATTCGCTTGCTACCACCGCCACCATCGCCTCACTACCTCAACTGCTACTGCTGCATATATATTGTACTTGTACTATCCTGCAAATTTTATTTTTTTAGAGCAATATTATTAATATTAAAACAACCATTATATATCACAAATATTATTGGCTTGCTACCACCGCCACCATTGCCACCTTCGCCACCACCGCCTCACTACCTCAACTGCTACTGCTGCATATATATTGTACTATCCTGCAAATTTTCTTTTTTTAGAGCAATATTATTAATATTAAAACAACCATTATATATCACAAATATTATTGGCTTGCTACCACCGCCACCTTCGCCACCACCGCCTCACTACCTCAACTGCTACTGCTGCATATATATTGTACTTGTACTATCCTGCAATTTTATTTTTTAGAGCAATATTAATATTAAAACAACCATTATATATCACAAATATTATTGGCTTGCTACCCCCACCACCTTCGCCACCATCGCCTCACTACCTCAACTGCTACTGCTGCATATATATTGTACTCGTACTATCCTGCAAATTTTATTTTTTTAGAGCAATATTATTAATATTAAAACAACCACTATATATCACAAATATTATTGGCTTGCTACCACCGCCACCACCGCCTCACTACCTCAACTGCTACTGCTGCATATATATTGTACTTGTACTATCCTGCAAATTTTATTTTTTTAGAGCAATATTATTGATATTAAAACAACCATTATATATCACAAATATTATTATATATACATACATACATACATACATATATATTATATATACATACATACATACATACATACATACATATCTTGTACTAGCCTTCCATTTGTACTGGATTCAGTACATGTAAAATGTATTTATAATAGAGTAATATTAAAAAACCTTTATAAATCAGCAATATCAATGCATTGTGTTATGGTGCGTTATTTATGCGTCAAATATATTTTCGAATTAGGTATATTTTCAACCTTTAGGCTTCGGGTTCAAATTATATTAACGCTACCGTAACACAAATAGCATGAAACCTTATACCTTTTATATATTTTATTTACTTTCAACAATATGAATTAGCGTCTCTATAATGTTATAATAATATAGTAATCTTAATATATCAACTTATCTCTCTATTTGTTTGAGCTGAGCACAACTTTGAATCTTTATTCTTTATGCTTTGTATTCCGTCTTCTTTAATAATAATTATTCCACAATATTCCAATGTTCTTCAGTTTACTTGACGAGGCTTAATTATCTAGCCTTTTAATTATATACTTCAGCCTTTGTTGGCTTATGAAGTATTTTAGCCTAAATGGCTCTTCTCACTTCACTCTCCCCTCTCGACTCTCAGGTTGTGCTCAGCTTTTATAATAAATTTTAGAGGAAGAAATCTGTAACTATGACTAATTTCCTCTACGCAATATGTTTGTCAAAGCAAGTTCTAGCAGTGTTTATCAACCACAAAACTATGTCCTGTTTTCGTGGTTTGTGGTACTAGGCGTTTCCCGTGGTTCTTTAATCTCTCTAAATATTTGCTTATTCATGCGAGGAAGGTTGCCTAAGGTCTTCCTCTTATAATTATAACAGTATACTGAATATATAGTATTGAATATAGTATTGAATATATTAAATAACATGGTATAACACTGCCATGTTACACCCTCCCCCTTAAAGGAAAGAAAGTTTGCAGAACTTTCTTGAAAGTACAAGATATATAACGTGTTCGTATAATTGCATGTTCATGGTCGTGATAGACAGTCAGCGAGTAAATTGTCTCGTCCTTTAATATGTTCCATCTTCATGTCGTATTCTGACAAAACGAGACTCCACCGCAGTAAACGTTGGTTCTTGTTCTTCATTTTATGGAGAAACATTAGAGGATTATGGTCGCTAAACACCTCGAGTGGAACAGAAGTTGAAGAAACATAAACTTCGAAATGCTGAAGCGCGAGAACAAGTGCAAGACATTCTTTTTCGATCGTAGAATAATTCCGCTGGTGTTTGTTGAACTTTCGAGAGAAATAACATACCGGGTGATCAACTCCAAACTGACCTTCTTGTAGTAAAACTGCACCGGCTGCAACATCACTCGCGTCGACCGCTAATTTGAAGGGGCGGTTGAAATCTGGTGCCGACAAAACTGGGGCATTTTGGAGCATAGCTTTGAGTTTCTCGAATGCTTTCTGACAGTGTTCTGTCCAAACAAATTTCATATCCTTGCGAAGCAACTGCGTCAAGGGTTCCGTGATTGATGAAAAGTTTGGGCAAAACTTACGATAATAACCTGCCATTCCGAGCAGTCGCATGATGTGTTTTTTCGTTGTAGGCTGTGGGAAATCTGCAATCGCCTCGACTTTGGCGTTGACGGGTTTTACTTGGCCTTGGCCAACGATATGGCCCAAGTATGTAACATGACCACAACCGAATTCACTTTTGACTAAATTTATGGTTAACTTGGCTTCGCTTAACCGTTTGAAAAACTTTCGTAATATTTCCAGATGCTCTTCCCAGGTGTCACTATAAATGATCACGTCATCAATATAACCTTCGCAGCCGTCGATCTGGGAAATTATCTGGTTGATAAGGCGTTGGAAGGTGGCAGGGGAATTTCGCATTCCAAATGGCATCACTTTGTATTGGTATAATCCACGTGGTGTTACGAATGCTGAAACCTCTTTGGCACGTTCGCTTAAAGGGATTTGGCAGAATCCTTTCAGTAAATCAAACTTCGACACATACTTAGCATTTCCAATTTTATCCACGCAATCATCCATCCGAGGAATGGGAAAATTATCCGACTTCGTGAGGTTGTTTACTTTACGGTAGTCCGTACACATTCGATAACTACCGTCTGGTTTAGGAACTAATATACAGGGTGAACTCCAACTGCTTTGACTGTGTTCGATGAAATCATTTTCAAGGAGGTATTGGATCTCTTGGTCGAGGTATTTTGCTTTCGTTGGGTTCAATCGGTAAGGGTGTTGTTTTATAGGGGAAGCGTCGCCAATATCAACGTCGTGGGAAATCATGTCAGTTCGAGAAGGAATGTCGGGGAATAATTGTGCATATTCATTAACAAGGTCTAGAACATCCTGACGTTGAGATGGTTGAAGATGAGATAACTTCGAATCCATACTTCGTAAAACGTCGGAGTTGCTCAATTTTGTTGTCTCAGACAAACTAGAGAGTTCAGATTCATCCTCATTACTATACCTATCTCTATCTGAACTCACTACATTTACTGACTGTACTACTTTCTTTCTTTCGTGATATGCTTTAAGCATATTTACATGGCAAAGCTGTTTCTTTCGACGTCTATTTGGAGTTATGATTATATAGTTTAAATCATTCTCTTTCTTTTCTATAACATAGGGCCCAAAATACCTAGCTTGCAAGGGGTTTCCAGGAACCGGAAGAAGTGCAAGAACCTTATCTCCGTTCTGAAAATTCCGAGTTACGGTGTTTTTGTCGTAACTGTGCTTCATGCGATTTTGAGCTGTTTTAAGGTTCTTACGTGCTACGTCACAAGCCTTAGTTAATTTGGTACGAAAGTACGTTACATACTGTAAAATATTCAATGAACCACCATCGTCGGTAAGCAACTTTTCCTTTAAAAGCTTGAGCGGTCCCCGAACCGTGTGACCGAAAACTAACTCAAATGGACTAAACCCTAATGATTCTTGAACTGACTCACGAGCCGCGAACAAAAGGAAATGGACGCCGTCGTCCCAATCTTTCTCAGTTTCAAAACAATATGTCTTAATCATTTGCTTCAATGTTTGGTGAAACCTTTCCAGAGCGCCTTGACTTTCCGGATGATAAGCTGACAAGGTGTATTGTTTAATACCTAGTTCGTGCATAATTTGTTGAAACAACCCTGACGTGAAATTCGAACCTTGGTCAGACTGGATGGATTTTGGAAGACCAACTAAAGTGAAAAACTTTGTAAGTGCTTCTACAATGGTTTTAGCCTTGATAGTTCGAAGTGGTATTGCTTCAGGAAAACGTGTCGAAACACACATAATTGTCAATAAATATTGATTACCTCGCTTAGTTTTAGGTAATGGTCCGACGCAATCAATCATAATACGGCTAAATAAATGGTTCTTCAAAAGCCGGAATTGGTTTTAGCGGTGCTTTTGGGATAACTTGATTTGGTTTGCCGACTACTTGACAAGTGTGGCATGTTTTACAGAATTCTGCCACGGTTTTTCGAACTCCAGGCCAATAAAAATGTCGTATGATTTTCTCATAGGTTTTGTTTATTCCCAGATGTCCTGAAAGGGGTGTTTCGTGTGCTAAACGTAAGACTTCTTCACGGTAAGGTTTTGGGATAACAATTTGGTATCGAACTGACCATTCATCATCAACACTAACATCAGGTGGTCGCCATTTCCGCATTAAAATATCGTTTTTGATAAAGTATCCCATTGCCTGGTCTGAAATTTCTTTTTCATCGAAAGCTTGTTGAATTAGAATAGCTATTTCGGGATCATTATTTTGCTCGTGAATGAGATTAGATGTTGACAAGCTTTTTGTGTCTATCGCATCGTTTTTCGTAATCTGTGTTGTTTTAGGGCCACTATCAAATAACTGTGTAAGAAAAGTATCGGACAAATCATAGGATGAATCAAGGTCATCTCTTTTATTATTCTCTAATTCTTGTTGTTTTACCATTGCTCTTGTGACCGCACACGATGGATATAAATTTGGAATTTCTTGTTCAATGACGTCGGAAATTGATGTTGAGCATGGTTTGTTTGTCACTATTGGATTGACTGTCACTTTTTCACCCGCAAGATCGTTGCCTAATAACAATTGTATTCCATCGAAAGGCAATGTATCGATGATACCTATCGAAACATCTCCGGAGACTAAATCTTGTTTCCGGAATATGATTCCGCAGAAAATGGCAATGTGTTTGTCAGTATTAAAGATTGAGACGCTCCAGTATCGCGTAATACTTGAACTGGAATACGTTGTGTTGGATTGTTCAAAAGTGAAACACTAGCCGCATTTACAAATGGTTCAAATACTTTCATTATAGGGTCAGCATTGGCTTTGACCTCTATCAAATCCTCTTGAGTATCACTAGCATTATTACTATCAAAAACAGATGTTGTGTTGTTATCCGGTGTTGAAACAATGCCGGTTCGTTTTGTTTGATTTTGTGGATTTCTGTAGCAATCTGACATCGTGTGTCCTTTACGCTTACAATAGCCACAAGTGATGGTACTGAAAGGAAAATTATTTCGTTTGTTCGGAAATTCCGACGTTTTATTCGGCTGGAAATTTTGTGGCGGTCGTCGCCAACTTAGATTAGTCGTGTCGCGTGATGCTCTGGGGTCATATTTTCCCCGGTTATCGTGCAGATATTTTCTGGCCGGTGTGTGTCTGTTGTCAAAATTATTTGGTTGTGACTTCTTTTCAAATGTGGTCTTGTGAGTCAACGCGAAATCGTCTGCCAAACGGGCCGCTGCAATGAAACTGTCAGGTTTTTGTTCATTTATAAATGTGCGGACTTCGGGGTTAACGCAACGTTTGAATTCCTCAATTAAAATCAGTTCCCGCAAATTTTTGTATTCTTTATTGATTTTCTCAGATAAGCACCATCGGTCAAACAACTGTTCTTTTACTTGGGCGAATTGGACATATGTTTTGTGGTCAGTTTTTTCAAAGTTTCGAAATTTTTGGCGGTATGCCTCTGGGACCAACTCGTAGCCATTAAGGATAAGTTCCTTTACCGTATCATAATTAGCTGATAATTCTACTGAAAGTTGCGAAAAAATTTCACGAGCTTTACCAACTAATACACTTTGTAACAGCATCGTCCAGCTGTCTTTTGGCCACTCACAATTTGTGGCAATTTTTTCGAAATGTAGGAAATATTGGTCTACTTCCCGTTCCTGGAAGGGTGGAACCATTCGGACATGCTTGGTCACGTCAAATTTTTGACCCGAATTAACTCTAAGATTTTGCCCTTTTGCCTGAACCTCTAATTCCAATTTTCTTAACTCTAATTCCTGTTCCCTCAATCTAAACTCTCTTTCTTTCTCTATTCTTTCTCTTTCCCACTCGCGTTTCTCTCGTTCTCTTTCCCACAAAACTTTCTCATGCTCTCTCTGCCACTGTCTGTCTTTCTCGCTTATTTCACTATCTTCACTAATCTGTGTACTTTCTACTGTATTTATACTTTGTTCCATGAAAACAGACTGTTCGAATGTTTTTTCTTTAACAAAATGTTCCTTGATTAAATCGTATACTTCGCGTTTTCTGAAGGTACTTCTTACTTCTAGCCCTAAATGCTTGGCTAGCGTAACTAGGTTATCTTTACGCAGGCTATTAAAATTTTCTATGGTTGGTTCCACCATAAATTCGCCGAGGTTAAATTCTGACATGCTTATTTAATTAAGATCAATTAAGGTATCTGGTTTCACACTTAACACTATGACGCATGCAGAATGTATTCCTCAAATTCCGCTTAATATCTTATCAATGAAATGACTTTCCAATTTTTATTTGTTTTAACTTGAAATGCTAATTTTCTTTTGGAGCATGCAACTGTTTAGACTGGTTTTACTCTTTCCCGCCTGAGCCCCCAACTGTTATGGTGCGTTATTTATGCGTCAAATATATTTTCGAATTAGGTATATTTTCAACCTTTAGGCTTCGGGTTCAAATTATATTAACGCTACCGTAACACAAATAGCATGAAACCTTATACCTTTTATATATTTTATTTA